GGGATCTTGGGCACACACGCACACGTGCCGGATGTGAGTTTAAGCCACCACCAGGTCCAGGACCCGAACTGCGGTTGGCTACATGGGAGTCCAGTGACATAGCCATTACACCAACTACTGGACCCACATCCAGCATGATTTTCAAGCCGCGGGGGCTATGACTCAATCTGCCACCCCCCAGGGGGGATTGCCATGCCACAATCCCTTCTCCTCCATTCTCCTCTCGGGATCTTGGGCACGCACGCACATGCACCCAACGTGAGTTTTAAGCCACCGGGTCCAGGACACGAACCGCTGTCGACTACGTGGGAGTCCAGCGTCATAGCCATTACGCTAACTGCTGGTCCCGAGAGGCTTTTGCTATAGGGCGCGTGAGCTCTCCAGAAAGACAGACAGAGAGACAGAAAGCGAGAAGTCACCCCCCACGGGGGATGGCCACACCGCAATCCCTTCTCCTCCACTCTCCTCTCAGGATCTTGGGCACACACGCACACACACAAGCACCCGGCGTGAGTTTAAGCCACTGGGTCCGGTACCCGAACTGCGTCAACTACATGGGAGTCCAGCAACATAGCCATTACACTAACTGCTGGTCCCTGGTCCCAGACCTTCTTTACAAATGGAGAAACCTGAGATCCAGAGCGAGGATTTGACATACCTACATAGCACAAGAACAGGCTGTTTTTGTATTTATTTATTTATTATATATTTTTTAACTTGACCAGAGAGGAACAGAGAGAGAGAGAGGGGGAAATTGAGAAAGCAAGTCACCAGGTCCAGGACCCAAACCACAGTCAACCATGTAGGAGGTCCAACGCCCTTAGCCACCATGCCACCTGCCAGCCCCTAGTTTTTTGTTATTTTTAAAATTTCACCAAAGGATGTGCACCCTCACCAGAGAGAGGGAGAAAGAAGAGATCACCCCCAAATGGGATGTGGCCACACCACAATTCCATCTCCCTTTCTCTGTCTTGTCAGGATTTGGAGCACAAACACTCCCACAACATGTTTTTTAAGCCACTGGGGCTGGGATTCAAACCATATGGTTGGCCATGTAGGATCTCACTCCCTTAACCACTAGGCCCCAGGGCTGTTTTATGGGTCCTTGTTTTACCTGCCTTGGAACAGTGCCTGGCTATTTAAGAGGCCCAGAGCTGTCTGTGGAATTGAGCTATACAATGAGGCCAAGGCCAGAGAGAGGGAAACAGGAAGCCAGAATGTAGGATCTCACTCCCTTAACCACTAGGCCCCAGGGCTGTTTTATGGGTCCTTGTTTTACCTGCCTTGGAACAGTGCCTGGCTATTTAAGAGGCCCAGAGCTGTCTGTGGAATTGAGCTATACAATGAGGCCAAGGCCAGAGAGAGGGAAACAGGAAGCCAGATGAGAAGCCAGAGCTGTGGGGGTTATGGGAAGGGGAGAATCTGAAGTTGTAAATCCAGGTTAGAACCACCAAATCCTTATTTGGTGGTTGGATGTGGTGGAGGGAGAGAATTCTTGCTTGGGTGTCTCAATCGGTGGTCAAGATACCCTGAGATGGGATCACACAGGAAGCCTGTTTCACCTGTTCTGTGCCAGCAGCGCATTTAGTCCTCACTACAACCCTATGAAGTTGAGCTATTGCTACCCCCTTTTTACAAGTGAGGAAACTGAGGCACAAAGATGTTAAGAGTCTTGCTCAAAGACAGCTGGGTGGAAAGTGATAGGACCTGGATATTAGTTTTTGCTACAGAGCGCATGTACTTGCCAGACAGAGACAGAGACAAAGCTTAAGAGGGAAATGAAAAATCACCCCTAGAGGGGATACCACGCCACAGTCCCTTCTCCTTCATTCTCCTCTTGGGATTTTGGACATACAACACATGCATCCGGCATGATTTTCTTTTCACTTTGTTTTGGAGAGGTTTTTACTATAGGGTGCATGGGCTCACCAGAAAGAGAGACAGAACGTGAGACAGCACCCTGCAGGGGGATGGCCACCCTGCAATCCCTTCTCCTCCAGTCTCTTCTTGGGATCTTGGGCACACACGCACACGTGCCGGATGTGAGTTTAAGCCACCACCAGGTCCAGGACCCGAACTGCGGTTGGCTACATGGGAGTCCAGTGACATAGCCATTACACCAACTACTGGACCCACATCCAGCATGATTTTCAAGCCGCGGGGGCTATGACTCAATCTGCTGAGTCAGCCAAGTGAGATCCAGCTGCCTTAACCTCCACCCCCACATGTTGGCCCAGCTGCTGATTAGCACACACTCTTTTTTTTAAAAAAGTTTATTTCTGGTGCCGGCAGGTGGCACGGTGGTTAAGGTGCTGGACTCCCACATGGCTGACTATGGTTTGAGTCCTAGACCCAGGTGGCTTGCTTTCTCACTTTCCCTCTCTCTCTGGCACTCTCTCATCAAATTAATAATAATGATGATAAATTATTACTTTTTTAAGTTTATTTCTTCTGAGAGAAAGGTATCCCCAAAAAGGTCTTTGTGCCACCATTCATCCCCAGTTTCGAAGAGAGTGGATCATGGGTTTTGCATGTGCTTGAAACGCTCAGAGTTCCCTAGATGTAAATCCTGCACATTTCCCAGTGGTTGTACCAATGCTGTTAACCACCTGAGCTCGAACTAACTCTCACCCATTACATTACTCTACTCCTAACCGCCAGGGTCCACCACCATTCTCTACCAATGCTGAGTTCAACTTTGGAAGTGTTATTGTTTAGATACTGTTGGGACATTCGCTTCATTTTGGCTCTGCGCATTCTCACAACAGGCCCCAGTGGCCTCTCTGTCTCCTTTGTTTCCCTCCAAACCATCCCCCACACTTCAGTCAGGAAAAATATCTTTAAGCAGTCCTAATAATGCCTCCTTCTCTGAAAAGCCCTCAGTAGCCACCCTCTGCTCTTGAAGACTGAGATGCTTACCTGGTTTACAAGGCATGGTTTGGGAACTGCCCCCTTTCTAGCCTCAGTTTTCACCAGGCTTCCTGATCTCACCCTGGTGTCTCTCTTGCTCAGGGATGTTCTCACTCAGAGCCTTTGCACCTCTGTTCTCACTGGGATAATCCTGGAGGTTTCACTCTGTCATCTACTAGTTAACTCTCTGTGGGCTTGCTTTCTTTTCTTTTTTTTTTGCGGGAGGTGGGGGTGAGGGGTGGGGGGGAGCGTTTTACTGTAGGGCATGTGCACTTTCCAGAAAGACAGAGAGACAGCGAGAAATCACCCCCCCAGGGGGGATGGCCAGGTCACAATCCCTCCTCCTGCATTCTCCTCTTGGGATCTTGGGCTCGCACACGCACCCAGTGTGAGTTTAAGCCTCTGGGTCTGGAACTTGAACTGCAGTCGACTGTATGGGAGTTCAGCAATGTAGCCATTACGCTATCTGCTGGTCCCTCTATGTGGGCTTTCGAGTCAGCAAGTCCAGACTGTCCTGTTTGCTTACTGAAGTTCCTATTATTTCATATCATTTCTTTCCATTTGAGATTTTACATTTATTAGTGATTTGTACATTTATGCGATATCTTTTAAGTCTTCCAACAAGACTGAGGTCCTGAAGGCAGGAACCCTGCCCATTCCCTTCACTCCTGCAGCCAGAGCACTGCCCCAAACACCGGCACCCTGGGGCACTCTGGACGCCAATAAACAGCTGTTGGAAGAGTGGCATCTAAATGACATCGAGAGGAAGGCAGGTAGCATTGAGTTAAAGACACTGGACTCCCACACGGCTGACAGTGGTTCAAGTCCTGGACCTGGCAATTTGCTCTCTTTCTCTACCTGTCTCTAATCAAAACAGAAAAGTAATAGTAATAAATAATTATTTTAAAAAATAATAATAAATCGACATTGAAAAGGCCAATAGCTCGGAAGATTTCTGGGTCAGAAACAAAGATAGGGGTGGGCCAGCAGGTGGCGTGGTGGTTGAAATGCTGGATTCCCTTATGGCTGAAGAGGGTTCGAGTCCCAGACCTTGCAGCTTGCTTCCTCTCTCTCTGTCTCTCTGGTAAGCGCATGTGCCCTATACCAAAAAAAAAATTTTTTTTTGGAGAGGTTTTTGCTATAGGGTGCATGCGCTCGCCAGACAGACAGAGACATAGAGACAGAAAGTGAGAAATCACCCCCCCAGGGGGGATGGTCACACCGCAATGGCTTCTCCTCCATTCTCCTCTCGGGATCTTGGGCACGCATGCACACGCGCCCGACGTGAGTTTTTTTAAGGCACCGGGTCCGGGACGCGAACCGCGGTCGACTATGTGGGAGTCCAGCGACATAGCCTTTACGCTAACTGCTGGTTCCCCCTATACCAAATTTTTAAAAACAATAATAGTGACAATAATAAGTACAATAAAATAAAATGATCTTTTTTTTAATGTTCTCTTTTTTTTAGAATTATTTCACTTATTTTTTTTCACATGAGTTTTCCGAGAGCGAGAAAGAGATGGGAAAGGAGAGAGGGAGAGCAGAGAGAAAGCTACCAGGTACGGAACTCAAACCATTGTTGGCCATGTGGGAATTCCAGCGCCTTAACCACCACGCCACCTGCTGGCTCCAATAAGATAATTCTTCAGTAAAAAAGATTTGGGAGCGACTTATAATTCAAATGAGAGGAAAGGATGGACTCGCCCTACCGGTGGTTGACGGAAGAGAGATCTGAAACTAACTCGAGATAAACAGGGACGCACTCACGGCCGTGTCGCAACGACGCTGGGTGCCCTCCTTCCGCCTAGCTGTGGTCACCTACCAGCCGCTTCCCACGCCGGATCCCTAAAAGGCGGAGAGAAATCAGCCCTCAGCCCCAGCAGCGCCAGAGGCGATCCCTCCTGGGCCCCTCCTCCGCGCCTTCCTCCAATAGCCGAGGAGATTCGATCCCTAGGCACCGCCTCTTCCGTCTGCGCCACAGGGAGGCTACCGGAAGTGGGCGGCACGCCGGAAGTTTGTAGAGTTTCCGGCGAATTCGGCTTCCCCAACATGGCAGCGCCCTTGTCAGTGGAAGTGGAGTTCGGGTGAGTCACAGAGCTGGGGCGCCGTGGGGACAGATGGAAGTCGTCGGGCGCGGAACGCCCCCTCTTTTCTGCCCTGAGAACTGACAGGGCCAAGTCACCGAGGCTCCCGGTGCCCCCTTGAGTTACGCCACCCGCTTCAGGGAGTCTGAGGGGCTCGGTCTCCCGGAGCGACAGGACCGTATGTCCGGGAATAGAGGCGCACACGCGGGCGGGAAGGAACGGCTGGGGACCTCTCGCTGCCCTAAGTAAGTTTCAAAAGGCCTGACGATTGGCAGGATCCGCCCTGCTGTCCACCAACCTCATTTCAGACCAGGTCCTTCTGTCTGGCATCTGAGCTCTCATCCGAGCCCATCTGAAGGGCCACTTCACTGATTTCTTCCTTAGGACAATATATGCTTTCCCAGTTCTTGAGGCCTTGTTTCTTATGGGATCCGTGGCCAAGATCTTTACAAGTTGTTAAACAGACCTGGGCCTTTTTCGGGAGGTGTAGCTAAAAGGTGTATCCTTTTTCGGGAGGTGCACCCTAAACCCTAACCCTAATCCTAATCTAACCCTCACCCCTTGAGTGGGGTGGATGTGGGGGAATAAATGATACCGCAGTGGGTCACTTAATACTTAAACAGTATGGTCTGCAAGAGATGGAAAGTACAGGAATCGGGGTGTACATCAGTGACCGAGGAAGCAAGAGTAAGGAAGACGTCTCCTCGAACCACACTCTTGTCCCTCGTACAAACGGGTTTCTCATATGATTTCAAAACTGAGGCCCTAAAAGATACGTTGTGTAATTTCCAGAATTATACGAAAAAGCTGGGACTAGACGTGTGTATGTGCGTGCGTGTGTGTGTTTGGGTGTGTGCGTGCGAGTGCGTGTGATGGTAAATAAGCCAAGGTCTATGTGAAAGGAAAAGTGTGGGACAAGAATCTTAAAACCTTTGTCCAGATGCTTTTCCTCCCTTGGAGGCCCCTAGGTTCTCTCATGTTTTCCCTTCATTGGGTAGTTCATTCACCAGTCATTTATTGAGTGCCTACCATGTGCCAGGCAGTGAGCCAGACACTGAGGATACAAAGATAAATAGAACTCTGTCTGTGCCCTACAGTGCTCAGCATTTCTGTCCTTTCGAAAGGGATAGTCTCATGAATGTTAAGTGCATTTTAATTGATGATATTGTCTGGCCATTTGGATCCAATTAGAACTGTACTGGTCTGGCTTCCTATTTTGCCTCAGTGGCCTTTGGCCCAGCTATACCTCCCCAAACCTGGGGCGTTTCTAAGAGGATCCCTGCAGTCTTCACATGCCTTAACAGAGTTGGAAAGAGAGGCTACAGACCGCCACAGTTAGAGTTTATCTACAACCAACTTGTTTTTCATTCTCACTGAGTCAGACATAGTATTTGTCCATCTTCTGTCTGCCAGGGACTGTGCAATGTGTACAGACAGTGGGGAAGTTATGTGAGAAAGACCTGGCCCTCGCCTTCCCGAGCTGACAGACCAGCACAACTACTCCCTTTTTGGCCTGTCCATCTCTAGCCTCAGCCTCCTTCAATCCCAAGAGGAATACTGAACTCCATCCAGCAAGACATGACAACAGTCCTCCATTCACCTACCCACTTCCAACTGTACCAGAGAACTGCAGCTTCCTGGGAAGAATGTCCCAGGTGCATGCCAATCCCAGGTTCCTTCTCTTTGTCCTTGTTTAGGTGCTTGTTTTCACCCCTGACTTTTTTTTTTTTTCCTATGTGTCTCAGACATGCTTCACCCTTTAATGTGAACCTAAGCAGATCCACAATGAAGCTGTGTCATGTCCCTAAGTGACCCACCCTTACCTTGGAAGAATCTGGCTGTTTCCCCAGAACAGATGCAATCCTTTCGGTCCTGCTACTGTTTCACAGACCCTCTAGAAGTCTTCTCTTAACCTTTTACTCTCTCTTTGTGGTCACTTCTGCCATTCTTTTTTTTTTTTAAGGCTTATTTATTTAATTCCATTAGTTATTATTTTTTTAAATTTGATTAGAGAGAGAGAAAGGGAAAGCGAGAAAGCAAGCCACTACGTCCAGGACTCAAACCACAGTCAGCCATGTGGGAATCCATTGACTTTATCCACAAGGCCACCTGCCGTCCCCATTTCTGCCATTCTTTGTCTTTCCTCCTGTTCTGTCTCTAGCAGAGCATTCTCTTGGGTCACACAGGATGAGAAGTATGTAGAATAGCTATGTCTCTGGTCCCTACCAGCCTCTCTGTAAAGGCCCAGGTGTAAAATGCCTCATGCTGTCCCATTTCCTTCTTCCTGAGTTGGAGAGGTATTGGCAAAGGGAGAGAATACCATGGAGTTCAGAGAAAAAGTGGGAAAATGGGAATTTTTATTCATTCCACAAATATTTGTTGAGTACCCACTGTATGTAAGGCCTTGTTTAGTATGTCAAAGCTTGCATTCTAGCAGGTGGAGGAAATAAACTATTGCTATATACACACATAAGACAAAAAGATGAAGATGAACTAGAAAAAGCAAAGGCAATTTTGGGAATGTCTGTGCCTGTCACTGGTATCAGCAACAGCTATACCAAGAATTGGGGGAAGGGAAGGTAGAGGTACCTTAGTTGAGTTTGTTTAGCCAATCCTGTAAGACTGAGAGAAGGTCTGCCCCAGGGTCTCTCTTAGGCCAGAACAGGCCCCTTGTCTCCCTCCTGAGTGACCTCAGAGGCTGAGTATGCACCTTCCCCTACTCTAGATGTGCTGACAGCAGAAATATCCACCCTCCTTTCTGGGCCAGCGAACCCAGCAGTGACAGGTCACTCTTTGAGCCATACTGGTTCTCCCTTCATCTGCTCACGAGGGGATAAACAGGCTGGGCCTCCGAGCCTGGCACTGCCAGGTTCGGTCACTGTCGGTTGTTTGCCTGGGTCCCAGTGCCTCCAGTTCCCACCCCTCTCCTCTGACCCCCAACTCCTGAGCGCCTTCCCTGTCCCCTTCCCCCATTCCAGCTGCTGCATGTGCCAGCCCCCACCCAGGAGAAAATGAGGCTCTTGGAAAGGGATAAATGCAGGCTCTGTGCGGGCTTGCAGCTGAGATGGCCCTGTGCGCAGCCACAGATGGGCCTCCTCTCCCCCTCCACATTTCTGCATCAACAAAGCGTGACCTTGTTTGGATGACAGTCGCCCCATGTTTCCCCCATGACAATGCTTGCCTTGCCTTTGCCTTCCAGTGGGCTGTTTCAGGACATCTCTGTTCCCTGATATTGGGAAAGGGTGGTGGGGTGGGAGGCGTCACATCCTTCAAAAGTCTGTGAAGGCCTTCTCAGTGAAGACCCACGTGAAGTCTGAGATGGGAGTCAGAAGACCCAGAGGGAGAAGTGGTGTGGGCCCAGCAGGAGCCCTGGCTTCTGGACTTGGCTCCGAGCATCTCTGTTGCCCCAGCCTTCCGTTGGCCAGGTGCTGGTTCACAAATGAACCAGTCTCTGCCCTCAAGGAGCTTTCTGACCTTTGGCAAGTTTCCTTTTTATTCTCCCAACATGGGCTAAGCAGGAA